ACAAGTACGTCGTGTTGTTATCTGTCTTCCATATCGTCTCATATATTGCGTATTTATGTGTTAAGTGTAACTTCGCAGCGCAATATACCGCATACTGTCATCGGGAGCAACAACAGCTGCACTATGCACGGTCGCTCCCTCCCTCACAACTCTCAGACCTCCAGGCAAAGTCTCTAGGCCGGAGAACTCCCTGTTAGGATACAGTCACTGAACGACGACGCTAACTGGCGCTACGAGTATGGCGGCTTAAAATGAAATTAAATAGGTCGTTTCACCTTCGTTCAGATTCGGCTGCGCCACGAGCACCTTTCTCCGTTGTCTGTGCGGATGGTGTACTGCACAATACTCTTGTCTGGCTAAACCGGTCAATTTTCTTTCCCTCGAACCTTTTTGCCGTTGGAAGCGTAATCTGGTTTTGGCGCTAGAAACCATGAGCGGTTTCTACTATTGCACACTAACTACACTGAATGCCGCAGGTCATCGCCCTAGTCACAGCGTTCGGTGTTCCTTATTTATCCATTCATTCGAGAGGGAAACAATCATAGACAGTAGGCGCGTTCGATTTACCTACAGCTCCTGCACCGGTGCAGAAGTGTAGCCCCGAGTGCATTCGATTTGAGGGTGCAGCCCTGGAGGTCTCTGCACCGCGCTGTTTGATTTACAAAAGTGTCGCGCCATTTCTACCCCTGGCGTACACTTCCTGCAGTCGCACGTTTTTGGTGGTGTAGGCGGGTGCATGATAGCTGACGACATTGCAGACGACAAAATGAACTCCCAAACCATCCACCCGATCATTGGCAACGAAGAAACCGTTCCGTTTCGCGTTTACGGGAAGGATGGTGAGCCTGCAATTGACGGCGGCTTGCCACTTTTTGTCACGGCAGGTAAGTGACCGGTACTCTTGTCAACCCATGCAACAAGTAAACTGTCTCGTGCGTGTTCTAGGCAGGGTCTGGGTCCAAATGGCGCCCTCAGAACTCTCCACGGACGTTACCAAAGACGACGATGAAAGCGGAGGAAAATTTTGGGAAGACAACAAGGCGGAATATCGGATAGAATTCCACAAAAATACGAAAGGCCCTGGAGCAAAAACTAAAACGCAATTGTGGAAAAAGTTAGCCGGACGCCTCAACGAGGCATTTCAAAACAAGTCCGTCAGGCACCTGCAAGTCGGAAACAAATGAAAAGCGTTGGAGTGGGCTTACAAGCAAACGAACAAGTGAAACGCGACGTCTGGAAGTGACCGGGTGACGTGCAAACTCGAGAGGTCATGAACTTTGGCTCAGACGACCGGGATCATGACGTGTGCACGCTTGCGAGCGCCGGTTTCTCAAAAATAACCGCTGCACCCAAATTTCCGTAGGAAAATTGCGATGTTCGAAAGTGCTGCATCAAAAAAAAAAAAGAAAAGTTTTAGTTTAAAAAAAAAAAAAAAAATTACGCATATTATTATTTAACAATTTTCGGAAATTTATCAACTTACGTTGCAACGAAAAAACCAAGGGGGACTCATTTGTAACGCTAAATATATTGCGTGCCGTCGTCAATCTTTTTTTCGACGTGCAAGTTATGATAGTCAATTAAAGAGGCTACCTTTATCGTCAGGTAATTATTTTCAGTCGTACCGATTTATTTGAGAATGTTCGTGCAATATTCAAAAATGTTTTTTTTTTTTTGGCAATAGAATAAGTTGCAAGTACCTGAACCAAAGCCTGCTGTCTGAAAAATATGTGTTTCTATTTAGCAATAATGTAAGGAACTGATAGTGCACTATATCAAGTTTTGCAATTTAATTTTATTTTGTTTGTCTTCCCCATTAAATCCCAATAGAAGCCTTTAAATAATGGAGGAGGGGTAAACAATCAAGGTAAGTCTGTTTTAAATGAATACTACATTTTTGAACACACGTGAATCACCTATTAAACAGCAGTATGGACAGTTGTGATACAGCATATCTAAAGCATCTACTTTTCTTATTTCCAAATGATGTGCTTAGGACGACTAGTTGAGTTTTGAGAGGACGGTGTGTGGAGAGAGAGATAGGAAGAGCCAGCAGAGAGTATGTGCTGTTTTGCAGGAAACTAATAAATTTATGTTCGCAATCATATAAAACATAGTAAGTTTCTTTTCTATTTTCAAAGAAAAGAACTTATTTTATCTCTTCATGCAACACTGCTAGTGGCGTCCTAATTAGGAAGGGTGAAACGATCAGCTTGGTTTTGTGCGGCATCCAGATATAGCTCCAGACCAGTGATGCACATTTTAGCTGAGAACTAATGGAAGTATTATACACTATGGGTTTAGTTTTTATGTGTCCTTATGAAGGCGATAAAGGTCTTTTGGCAACTTTTCGCAATGGTGTATATGTCTGAGACTCCCATGATAAGATGTAAATAATATTTCTGTCAAGATATTTGTATATAGTGACAGCTCCAAGTGATGTGCTGAACAGTGAATGATCAAACTGAGTACTTCTGTAGTAAACTCAGAAATTTAGTTTTGCTATTGTTGATGTTCATCAGCCATCCTCAACACCTTACCAAACACTCAACAAGTCACTTCGTAAAAGGGTAGCGAGATACATTAAATCTTTTTTTCTGTAAGTCACATGGTCCTCCGCATATACGCGAATAGTGGCGTTAGAAAGTATGGTAGGTGGTTTATGTGGATTGGAAATAGTAGCAGGCCCAGCTCTGTTTTCTACAGTGGCAGTGTGCCTGGTATAAATAGCCTACAGGCGGATGTGTGTAAATTTTCATGTCACGTGCTGCACATACTTGGTTTTATGAGCAGCTCTTATAGTATAGACAATACGCCATTTCTCAAAGCGAAATGTTATTTCTCAGTTGTTTTTTAATGAAATGTCACCATCTTTTATGACCTGCTGTATGGAGGAATGAAATCAATGGTCTCTCAGATAAGCAGGTTAAAAGTTGAGTCTTTATTCTTGTGCATGTTTATTTCAAGCGACCTTGAAGAAGTGCTCGAAAAGGAGCACATTGTCAACCCAATGATCCTGCTTGGCCCTGGATAAGTGCAGAGCCATGGACAGTGAGTGACTGTTAATTCACGTAAAAACCTGTCTCAGAACAAGAGGGACATACTGGGGGGTTAAGGGAAGCCTAGATTGGGAGATGGCAACACTTCCTGAGACAATAGAAAATCGCGTCTTCTTAAGGCTTTTAAGAAACATTTGGATTAGATAAAAAGGCATGTTGGTACTTTCTAATTGGGTTTACCGCATCATTTTGCAAAAACTCATATCCTTCCCATCATATATTATTTTAAAACACTGATAAGTTTGAAATGTAGGTTAAATGAAATGCCAATAAATCTATGGAATATTGATTGGTTCGCACTCGAATCTACTTTCAGTCATAACTATTGAAACATTTCAGTGTAATATATATTGCGAACACTTCAAAAATTGTGACTACCTAGCTAAAAAAGGGTGTTTCTGATATTAAAATCCCTACTTGGCTACTTCATTGTTGGTAAGGACCAAGCTTCTGAAGTAAGCGTGGAAAGAGTTAGGTAGGTAAAATTATATTAGTAATAAAAAATCACAAGCATGATTGATAAGTCTGAGCATAGCAAAAAACACGGGCCGATTTATTTGCATGGCCCCTCATGTGAAGCAACTTGAGGCAGTGGATTAGTATACGCATAAGATGTTCAGGTTTCACTCCCACCTCTTCTTCTAGATAACGATGTGGTCAGACATGGAGCAGTGAAAGTGGATTCAATCTCTTCATCCTCACATTGTCATAACATTCTACATTTGTCAAAGAGTGATTTCGAAAACTTACATTAAATTATATTTCTGTAGCAAAATTTTGCTCAGAAAAAGGCAGAGACAACGAATTGATGTGAAGCGCATTCATTGATTTTGCAAGAACATTTTACTTCATCAATCATAACATTTATGCTCTTAGTCGTTGAACTTCTGTATCAGTTCTGAGCTACTTCTGGAACTTCCTAAATCATATCTGAGGTGTCATAATCAACATGGTCATAGTAACCAAAACTCATGTCATTAAACAAGGCTCGTCCAGTGTGGGTCTCAGGAAAGTACACTTTAGCCGTTCTTGGTCCGCATGAGTACTTCAAATATAATTTGCTTAGCAAAGTATATTGTATGATCTAAAGATGCCAGCGTATTCATCACAGCTGGTAGCCATAATGACCTCATTAATAGAGCTAACTTGACTTTGACTGTTCCGGGTACGAGGGACCAGAGCGTTCATGAATTAATATGCGCTTAAGGATGCTTGGGCCTCCATTCAGTTTTGTGGCCGTTAAGCACGCTGTACCACATTCCAATTGTGCGCTGCAAAGCAGCCCACCATAAAATGTGAAGGAGCCAAAAGAAACAAGTAGGGGTCTGCATGGTGGCAAACCCTTAAGGCAATTGTAGCCAGAGTGAATATATTTATGGTTCACAAAATAATTAACCTCACACTATCTCACAGTACCAATATGTAAAATCTGAAGCCACACTTTTAGAGGTCAGGAAGTCTTTTTATTCGAGAACAATACTTTAATCTCCCTACCGAAAAAAACATTCAAACGGGTGGCAAACTGGTAAATCAAACGGGTGCAAACTTGTCGACCCGTTTAGATCAAACGTGATTATGGGATACGGGTAGCCGTTTGAAACGGTACCCGCTCGAAACGGTACCCATTTGATACAGGTGCCCGTTTGATACCGGTGCCCGTTTGATACAGGTGCCCGTTCGACCATGCACGTGACCACACGTTTGAACGTGCCATTCGAATCGGGAAATTATGCGCTAGCCCTAAACGGGGATCGTCTTGTAGGTTGGTAATCTTAAACTTATTTAAAAGGCGGTGTCTATTCTACCGGCAGCCGGCAAAATAATTTTTCCGAAATTCTACCGGCAGTCACCTCCCATTGGCTGCCTGAAGTCACGTGACACCCGCGGGCAATTTGGCGCCCGCGCCACATGTCCGCCATAGTTTACGTCGTACGGGCATGCCGTGCTGTTGAGTGCTCGTGTTGTGGGTTCTTTTGCCCATTTGAGGATGTCGGGACCGTTGGAACCAACTTCCGACCAGCCCCAAGGGGCCAACGACGCCGTAATCGCCGTAGGCGAGCGCTTCGCGACATTTGAAGCGTTGGACGAGAGGATGACCAAGTTCAGCGACGCGAACTGCGTTCAACTCTGGAAGAGAGACGCTCGGACTATTGGAGCTGCAAAAAAGCGCGCGGGGAAGATCGCATCCAGGATGCCCGAAGAGCTCAAGTACTACCAGTTACGCTACTGCTGCATCCACGGTGGCGCGAAGTTCGTAACCAGCAGCAAAGGCGCGCGAAAATCATCGTAAGTCTTTTCAAATTATACTTTTTCGAACTGCGTAACGTTACGTCGAAAGTTCCGCCTTCCCTGGGCTTGCGTGAAAAAGGGGAGCCATTCACTTGATCGAACGACGTTTTAGCGACTGAAACGCAACCACGACGTTTCATCGAATGATCACTGAGCGAAGTTACGTGGACATCTCGGATTAGTTTCTTTTTGCAATGTGCCGCCTTGTCTGTCGCCGCGAAGCGGTGTGGACGGGTGGTCCGCATGTGTTTACACGCGTCCCAGTGATACACGCGCGACAAAATGTTCCGAGCGGCAGTGATACACGCGCGGCAAAATGTTCCTAGCGCGGCGAGAAAGGGGGGGGGGGGTGCGTGCGTGCGTTAGTGCCGCCGTGCTGGGTGTTTCTCTCGGTATATCCGCTGCAATCATGTCGCTTCCGATTGAGAGTGGATAAAACAGCTCGGATTGGGTCGCTGTACGAGCCGGAACAGTACAGGGCGGGGGGGGGGGGGGGGGGGGGTGATTTTGTTCCTTCACGATAAAGCCTAAATGTACCACCTCATATTGTGCATTTCAACCGTTCTCCTACGCTTTTCTTGTCGCGATCTAGGACCCCAAGTTTCATCAAATATTTTTGTTTTCTCCACTCCCCCCCCCCCCCCCCCCCCCTCCAACCACTTTGTTTATCTAGGACATTCAAGAAGGATTGTGGCTTCAATGTCTACATCGCAGCAAACAAAGAAGGCAGCCACCTGGAGGTACGATCCCTAACCCTCGAGCACAATCATACAGTTGTACCAGAATTCTTCAAGCACCTGCCCCAGCAAAGGCGACTCCCTCCTGAACTCCAGGCCAAGGCCCGTACTCTGTTGAAGCTCAAAGCCAACAAGATGATGGTAAGGCAAGAGATGCAAAAAGAAAGCGGAAATGCTATTCTACTGAAGGACCTTTCAAATATTGCTGCGAAGGGAAAGGACGCCAAAGAAAGGAATAACTTGCCTGAAGTTGTCCGTGCCCTGCAAGAAAAACATCACGCAACTGTCCGTGTGCTGACAGATGAGAACGATGAGTTGCAAGCGATCTACTTCCAGGATGATCAGATGAAGAGGTCATTTCAGGACTGCCCAGAAGTGCTATTTATTGATGCCACTTACAAATTGCTGGAAACACGAATGGCTTGTTTTCTGGTAATCATTGAAAACAGCAATGGTGAAAGTGAAATTGTTTCTGTTGGACTGTTCACAACCGAGGATGCTGGAACACTTCGTTGGTTCTTTGAAGCCTTCAAGTCTCTGAACCCAAAATGGGAGTCAGTGAGAGTGACCATGGCAGATAAGGATGTGAAGGAGAGGAGTGTTGTCAAACAGCTCTTCCCATCATCAGCACTGCACATATGCTCATTCCACACGCTGCAGGCTTTCCGTCGGGAAGTTAGTGTCATGAAGCTTGGCGTTACAAGAGTAGAACAAGAAACAGCCCTAGATATCCTGCAGCGCATGGTATACGCTAAGAGTGAAGAGGAGTATCAGGAGCTCTACGCCCTGCTACAGACGTCCGCTGCAAGAGCAGTGGTGGAGTATTTCGATGACAACTGGCATACCATCCACGAGGAGTGGGTGATGGGAAGGAAATGGCTGTGTGGCAACTTCTTTAATGCAACAAACAACCGTGCAGAAAACATGAACTCAAAGTTGAAACAGCTTGTTGAACGCTTCAGTTCCCTCGAAATGTTTGTGGAGAGGTTTTTCACAATGATTCACGCTCAGCGAAATGAGAAAAAACACAAAGCAGCAGTTATGCTGCAAAAGCAAAGGGTGGACACCGCCAGTGACGAGGCAAGCGAGCTTTACTCGAAGCTACTGACACCATACGCCTTCAATCGTGTAAAAGAAGAGCTTTGCGAAGCAACTCGGAAGATGAGCGTTGATGCACTTGCCGACGCGCACAGATTTTCTGCCACAGCTCGAGGGTGCACGTGCACCTTCAGACAAGCAATGCTGCTGCCTTGCCGCCACATTTTTACGGTAAGAGATCATCTCGGCATCTCAAAATTCGAGAAAGATGTCTGTGCAAAGAGATGGTTTCTAGATGTTTATGTACAAAGTTGTGGGCTCACGCAGAACAATGAATGTGCCGGGGAAGAACTGGTGCAAGTAAGCAGTCGCAAGGATGAAAGAATCCTTTCAGCGCATCAGAAATTCAGGAAGGCAGCTGCCATTGCTTCAACGCTAGCTGACCTTGCGTCAGACTGTGCAACTCCAAGATTCAAGGAGAGGCTGAAGGTCCTCGAGAGCATACTCCAATCCTGGAGGCATAATGTTGAAGTCACTGTAACATCCTGTGCTCCATGCACAAGCAATGGAGTAGACACACAAAGCGAATGTCTGTTAGACCAGGTAAGCCAAGCTGCTGCTGGCGAAGGCGCACAGGACAGTGCAGAGTCAAGTGATCATAGCAAGCAAAACTGCGCATCACGTGATGTCACGCAAAGGAGAGGTGCTGCTGGAGATTGTGTCACTCAAGGTCACAGCACACAGATCTCGGATGCCCTGGCAAAGATCAAGGTGCCAGTAACCAAGAAAAGCTGTGGTCGGCCAAAAGGCCAGATGGTTACCGTTATTGGACTGCCAAGAAAGCGCAAGAGGACATCCACTGAAAGGCCTTATGCAGAGCTTACAATGAAGGAAAAAAAATTGAAGCTGCTCACATGGCTAACAGGAACACAAAAGGCGGCAGAAGCAATGAAAGGAAAGCTGCTTGACGAAGACACAGTCGAACAAAGGCCAGAGTGTGTTCATAGCGGCATTCGTGATGACAATATTGACATCAACTTAGTGCGGCGTTTTTTTACCGATGACGCGTGGCAAGCTGTACAAATGGTCATGGGCATGAAGAGACAAGAAAGCTGGAAATGCAATGAGTGTGAAACACATTTGGACGACCATGACTCAGTGATGTGCGACTGGTGTTTGACCTGGAATCACCTGCCATGCGTTGGCCTCAGGAAGCAACCGAAGACAAAGCTCTGGAAGTGCAGAGTGTGCAGTGGCTTTGCACTTGGTAGTGTCCCTCCATAGTCATAGGCGGCTCTAGTCATTTTGAACAATATTGTGCAATCCTGCGTCATCATTTTGCTTATAATGGAAATTATGTTGTGCAATACTGCTTGTCATTTTGTGTTTAGTCATTTTGTTAGTCCGAAATATGTTGTGCAATCCTGGTGTTCTAAAGCCAATCATAATAAGTTTTGATGTTTTAATATTTTTTCAAGACAAAGCTCTGGAAGTGCAGAGTGTGCAGTGGCCTTGCAGTTGGTAGTGTCCCTCCCTAGTCATAGGTGGCTCTAGTCATTTTGAACAATATTGTGCAATCCTGCCTCATCATTTTGCTTATAATGGAAATTTTGTTGTGCAATACTGCTTGTCATTTTGTTTTTAGTCATTTTGTTAGTCCGAATTATGTTGTGCAATCCTGGTGTTCTAAAACCAATCATAATAAGTTTTGATGTTTTAATATTTTTCCTATCTGTCTCATGTCTGAAAATAAATTTTGCAAGTGCTTTTTTGCGATTGGTAACTGCTTGTATGCATATTTTTTAAAAGAGGACCAGTATCTCTCTTGCGTGAAAGAACAGCAGTTTTACGTCAAAAGTTCCACTAGCCTACAAGATTACAAAGGCTATGTTCAAGCCATTTAATACCAGATCACACATAATGGACCTTTTCCGAGAAGCGTTCTGCGCACGCGCGAGCGCCCGATGTTACGCGGCGGAAGTCGGAACGAAAAATCGAGGAAATTCGGAAGGAGGCTGTATATCAGCGAGTAGAACACGTAACTGCAGCATACATATAATTGTGTTACACAAAAAAAGAACGTCTACGGAAAGGAAAACACGACGTTTGGGTGGACGCTACGGATGCCCCTCTTTAAAGTCGCGTTGGGCAGGCTCCGCTGCTCAGAGAGCGAAGAAACTGGTAGCGTAGCTCCCTATATCGATTGGTAGCGCAGGTAGGTCACTTCCTCGATTTTTAGTTCGCGCAGCCACCGCCTGGTGCCGTCGGTATGTGGAAAAGGTTCATTGCCCGACATCAATTTTGTTTAATGCAAGAGCAGAAATGCAGCTTACTGAGCCAAAATAAATATAAGGTCATAAGAAAATAGGTATTTTAATGGCGGTTGCCGGTAAAAAAATTATTCCAGTACTTTACCGGCAGGTGCCGGGAGGAATTTAGAAAGTTATTCTCCCGGCTGCCGGGACAATACAAATTTCATTATTTTACCGGCAGGTGTCACGTGACTTCAGGCAGCCAATGGGAGGTGACTGCCGGTAGAATTTCGGAAAAATTATTTTGCCGGCTGCCGGCAGAATAGACACTGCCTATTTAAAACGTTCCGAAACTCATAAACCTATTTATAACATGGCGGAAACACGTAGAACAAATGTGCTCACGTAGGTGCTTGCAAATGGACAGGAAAACAGACACAAAAGATTGTTTTCAATTCTCCTCAAAGTTTTTTACGTCTTCTGTAGACAAGTACAAACATGCAAGCAATCTGTGAAATGTGAGAGGCACTCTAAGCTTTTATATAACTGAGAAGATATCAAACCAAACAAGGACCGCGTTAATTCTAGACTATGAAGGTAGACTTTCGGGAAATGATTCGCCCGGCTTCCGCGAGAATAGTGGCTGCATAATTATATAGATAATCTGGAAGAGTACGAGTAGAAGAACGGTCAATCGTTGCCAAGAGGTAGGTTGCAGTGCACTTACCATAAAAATAGCGGACTTGAAAGATGTAATTCGTGATATTTGTCGAGACGGTCAAAGCAGGACAACCACACAAACACAAATGAGAGGGAACGGCTTCTTGGAAGTTTCAACACGATGTGGCGCACAAGCTGTCACTTGCCGAACGCAACCAAATCGCAAGAATTCCTGACTTCTTTGAAGAATCGCTTGTTGCCGATATAGACGTAGGACTTTTCGAACACTGATAGCTTTGGCGCGCATCCAATACGTTTTCGAGAGACATCCTAATAGGACCGCAGGGTTAGGCGACAGATCGAAGCAGGTGGACGCGCGAAGTTCGAGCTGGAGCTGACAACAAGCAGACAAAGAAAAAAGGGGCTGCTAGGCACACCCTTCCGGATCTTATCAGCGTGTAGCTCGCGCGCAGCTGCGGGTCACGTGACGGGTGACAATAGAGAAGGGAGGGGGCGAGGACCACAGGGACAACCCCTCTCCCTCTCTCCAGGCATCCTAGTGAGATGTGTTTTAATAACCTCGGAAAATAAAAAAATAAAAAAACGCGCGCGCGCATTTTGGCGCGCTTGAACGTTGGAAATGGCGGCGGGGCGGCCAGAAGCTCGGCTTGCGCTCGAGCGAAGAAAGTACTCAGCGCGAGATCGCAGTTTGACTGCTGCAACGGCGGGCGTGCTCTCGTAATGCTCGATGTTCTTGCTGCCGCGTGTACGCGTGCTACCTTCGCTGCGTCTTGAATTAAAGTGAAACGGAGTCTAGACGTACATTCTTTCACGCGGTCGCGTCTTCTGCGAGAGAGATTCGAGCTGAATAAGTAAATTGAGGCAACAAATATGGAAAAAGTTTTAAAGTTCTGTCAAAAACATCGCCTCACCAACGTCACGCGTTTACGTAAAACAAGAACAGAAAAAGGTGTTAGTTTTAGTTGCAGTATAAGCGAACATCAGCGCAATTGAAATATAAGTATAATTACTTGCATTACGCGGACGATCTGAAATCGATGAACCGGCGCTCCTAGCCTTCCGGAAACATTGGCTGCCACGGCTGAAACGCTAGGCGTGCCCACGCCCCCGATCTGTACGTTCAGTATCAAATAGGCTCCGGAGAGCCGTTTGATTAACCGGGTACAGTTTGCGCCATGGTCACCGGTTTGAGCAAACGTGCGACAAATTTGCCCAAACGAGTCGCCCATTTGCCCAAACGAGTCGCCCATTTGCCCAGACGAGCGACCCATTTGCCCAGACGAGCGACCCGTTTGCCAAAGGAGTGACCTGTTTCTCCAAATAGGTGACCGTTGTGGCTCATACGGGGGACCCCTTTGAGCCATACGGGCGACCCCTTTGACAAACTGGTGACCGGTATGGCTAAACTGTTACCGGTATCGACCCGTTTATTTTCATAGAGGCGCCAAATGGTTTTTTTTAGTAGGGGCTCTTCTCACAAAATTCATCAAGTTGTTCCTACGTTACAACCTCATGTTTCTTTATAGTTTAATTTCTGTTATAAAAAGAATAGATATATTTTGTGCTGTCCAAAGTGTGTTACCTGTGGAATGAAGTGCATATATGTACTAACAGTTAGCTTGTACAATTTGCCTACATTGGTTCACATCTGTTCAGTGCACGAAAGTGCAATTGTGAAACAGTGCAAAAACACTTGAGCATTGTGCTTTCAGCATATGTTTTATGATGGACGCCCCGCACGCTTTAAACAAGGCAACATGGACTAAGTGTGAAATATTGCAAGAGCTAAAGATAAATCAAATACGTTAATTGATAACAAACATCTGCCAGGTGCATACAATACTATGCAAGGTGAAAGCAAAGCCGTCATGCCGGAAACTTCTCGCCTGCATCTGTTAATGCCTTTGGGTGTCACTGGTGTATATTAAAACAACACTACTTGTTACAGGTTTAAATGTACAGAAGTATACACACAAAATGACGGAGCAAACGTGGCCCGCAGCCGAGATCAGCCTGCCAGCATTCCAACTGTCCCGTGTCCGCTGCACGCTGTCCCACCGGGCGGCCGCCCCGTACGTAGTGCTAACTGCTGCCACAACACCCTTCCCCCACAAGTCCGTTGTTATGGCGAATAACGCTGCGGCGCCTTTCGGACTCTCGTAGATTTTCGGAGGGCTGGAGACTGTTGAGCTACTGGAACCTCTGGGCGACAGTTGCCTGCTGGGCTGACGGACAGCCCTGGTTTTTCTGTGATGCCGGACCGGAAGTCGCTCGCACGCTCCACCTGCACATCTGGAGCTGCCCCATCTGCCTCCTCTAGTTGCTGCCCGATGTACTGCGGCAGATGCTCTCCCGATTCGTCATCCATTAGTTTAGCCTCCGTGACCCGAGGCCGCAGGTTGTCTCCATGACGGTTCTAAACTGAACTATCTGTCAGCTGAACCTCGGCCGACGATGCGCTGGTGGTCGCCCAGCAATCGCAGGTACCCAACGAGGTCCCGGTCTGAAATTCCTAGCCCAAACAGCATCTCCCGGCTGGGATACCGGCTCTGCTCGTGCTGACCGGTCACTGAATAGTTTTTGCTGCAACTGTTGAAACTGCACTTTGCCCCGAAGATCCGGCCGCAGTAAGTCCGATGCTGTCTTCAAGCGCCAACCCATGAGCAGCTCTGCTGGGGTGCGTCCGGTAGATCATGTGGTGTTGTCCGGCACGTGAACAGCACTCTTGCGATCTGACACTCGAAATCCCCAGGCGCAGACTTCTTGAGTTTCTTTTTTACACTCTGTACTACCCTTTCTGCGGTGCCGTTCGAGGCTGGATGGTATGGAGGGATAAGTATTGGTTTGACCCCGTTACGGTCCAGAAACAACTTGTACTGTGCGCTTGTGAATGCGGGACCATTATCACTCACTATCACATCCGGCAACCC